TTAATTTTTAAATGAAAATTTGTGATTTCATTATCGTATATGATGTTATTTATTTAAAATTATTATTATTTTGGTAATAACTAAGCAAATTGTAGTTATAATGGTGATTGATCTTCATAATTTGGATAATAAATCATTTTTATTTTAAACTGACTGCATAGCTTTGTAAGTAGTTTATACTATTCTATCTTTATTATTCCTATTCTTTCTTGATTCATTTTCAGCAGTATCTTTATGTGAAAATTAAACTAAACAAAGAAAAAACACAACTATATGATCTCATTAGATGGGATATGTCAACTTTCTGTCCTGAGAGGGCGTCAGATGTCATTTTTTTCAGAGTAATTGTGACACCTTACAACACCTTTCCCTCGACTATTAGTTACATCTGTAAAACTGCACTTTTGAATGTAACAAGGAACAGTCATCACCTGTTTTTCAAGCCATTAGGATCAGTGTTTGAAACTACTCATTTGGATTTTTGTTTGTGCGCTTCATCTGTATTCTGTTTGGCTGCTATCCAACATGGGAAATATCATCCAAATTCAATATCTAGAACTATTTTATCATACATCATCATCAGGATTTGTTTGTCTGATGATGTATTGCAGTGTGGGAAGTATTTATCAGGATTCAAAGGTATTATAAATTGTAAATGCTCTCTCTCTATGATCATAATGAACATAAACATCATACTTCAATGTATACCATACTGTATGAACTTTCGTGCCAGCTAATAAATGTTTTATAGTATTTTACTGCGTTGAGTGACTTCTTCCGACTGAATCTCATTGTTTTTTTCTCCATCTTACTTTACTCATAGTCTCGCATATGAGACTTCATTGTTATCCAAAAAAATGCTTGAAAATTTTAGTAGGCATAACCTATTTGGTGTCAGAAGTTTCTGAGTGTAAACACTTACATTTGGCAACAAGTACTGAAAGGCACAAACCTCACATTTATAATATTTTGTAAGTAATTCCTTTTTTAAAATATAATATCAGTTACTTCATGTATTAATTCTTGTAATTTTCTCTACATTTTCTCTGTTTTCATAGCAAAAAAAGATAACAATAAATTCATACTAAACAAAGGTGTTTTTTCTGAAAATTCTTGTGGTAAATATAGGTATATTTTGTATATTGAAAATTTTTATACATATCTTTCACTTTGAAATTGATTATTAGAATAATAATGTTGACATATTCCTTACCTATTTGATTTATTCTATTATTCCTGTATAGAATTCATTATTATATCTATAATCTTTTGGAAAATCAAACTTATAGTTTTACATTACACTTGATTTCTGTTTGCTAGAGTATATTATCAAATTACTGTATAAGATGCCAGTATAAATATACCAAAGTTTTATTGACAATTGTTTTTCTTTCCCTGTATTTTTACTGAATTTTAGAAAAAATTATCAGATTATATAATTAGATTTTAATTTAAAACTATTTTTTTAGTTATAAAGATATACTATTGAACATGAAAATAACTGAATAGACATTTTATTTTTTAATTTATGCAAAAAATTGAAAAATTTTTTAGAATAAAATCTATCATGTATTATTCTGTAGAGGAAAAAGTTACTTTTAAGATATCTTATGTTAAAACACTTACCATTAATTTCATCACAATAAGGAAGAGAAAAAAATTTGAAGACGATGCAGTAAAGTATCTCAAACTTTGTATTTGTCCATTCTGTCTGATTATTGATTCAATTATTAAGAGGTTTTAATTCTATATTAATAATGTATATAAATTATATTTACTTACAAACTGAAGTGTAAGAGGAATAGTAACAACAGGAACAAAATCTTCGTATATATACTTGTGATATTTGTCCAAAATGTCTTTAGAAAAAAAGAAAAATAAATAAATAAATAAAAATAAATTATAATAGTAATTGTATGTAAATATAATAAACAACATGTAGAAAAAACCTTTGGTAATTTCAAATGAAATATCTTGAATTATTTTAGTTTCAAGTTGAGATTCTGCAGGAGAAATTCTGTAAAGAAATGTAAAATTTTAAAACCAATCTTTGAACATAGTAAATATTTTTAAAATAATTATAAATGAACAGTTATATATTAAATTTATTGTTACTGCAATTAAATAATTACAATAAATTATTATATACTACCTCTCCAATTTGAGAACGGGATTTTGAAGGTGTTGAATTGGATGTGTTAAATGAAATGCTGAATTCCCTAAACACATAAACATTTTTTTTAGTAATTTGTATATTTATAATTCATGTAAACAACACTAATTTTTACCTGTGACAAGATTACAAAGAGATTGTTTTGCAGGAAGAGAATGATTTTGATTTTCAAATAATTTCTGCACCTAAAATTGGAAGTAATTATACTTAAAACGTTATTTAAATCATCATAATAGACACAATAAGATAATTTAATAAAGTTCTATTTGAAGGAAAATTTAAAACATTAAAATGCAAATAATCTAACAAAGCTTTATACCAAAAAATTACTTTTCTAAAATTTATTTAACCTTATTCATTAGAACCTATTTTAATTATAACTTATTTGTCAAATCAAATAAAAACAACCAAGTTTTACCTTTTGTGAAGAGAGCAAAGTAAGAGCAGAATAATATAATTTAGCTTGAATTTTAATATCTACATCTTCAAACTGCATCATTTGATATAGTATTTCTCCAAATTCTATCAAAAATATTTTTACATTTATAAAATACTGCTTAACTCATTGACAAAAAAAAGTTATGCACCTAGATAAAGTTACAGTCTAATTACTGCAAAATTTAGCAATGCTATGTCTCAGACAGGTAAGTAAATTTTTACAGTTGTGATCTGATTGTATGCCAAGTGATGCCATCAAAGTGCTGCTGTTCTGTCTGTGAAAAGGTGTTGGGGCAGTTGATATGAAAGGGTACTCTGGATGTTCTAACAGACCACCAGGAGTGGTTGTGAGACAAGCACAAACATCTGAAATGGCATCTTTATCCGACATACAGAGATAGAAGTTTTGCTAGATTACCCTTTTTCTTCCTATACTATTGGCAAGCAATTAGCAGAGACAAATTTGCATGCATGATGATCACTTTGTGTTTTGCCATTAGCACCCCAGCATTGTTGGCTTTGTTATGAGTAAGCATAAAAATGCTTGAGAAAATAAATAATACAGGAATACAATTAAGATGGAAACACAGGCTTTTATTAGTTTCTGAGGATATGCATTTTGGACAAAATACTCCTCATTGATCCTGTTTTAAATTTTACAGCAATCTTGATGACAGAAATTACATGTATGTTATAGATAATTGTGACAACTGGATTTCAATGTATAATAAAATACCTGTAAATTATAAAAGCAATTAAATAAAATGCAATTAAAACTGTAATATTAAAAGACTGGTAAAAGAAAAAAGAAATAAAACTCATTAAAGAGTTGAAAAGAGGTATAATAATCACTTTTATGACTATTGTATGTATTGGTGGTATAAAGAACATTGAGAGCAAAGTGGTATATTCAAGAAATCATGTCCTCATGTGTTGCTTTTCATTGCATGGTACAAACAGCCATTTTCTAGCAAGATAATGCTCAGCTATGCACAACTAACATTTCCCAATAATGACTCTGTCACATCACACTTTCTTGGCCTGCCAGATCTGCAGATTCGTCACTTATGGAGTATTTGTGGATCAGGTGAGTTGTCAGCTTTGACTATCTATGAGCACAAGGGATCTGGCAATCTGGAGCAGCAGTTGCAACATCTGTGGGTAAATCTGTTAGAGGATGGCATATGGTGCCTATATGCCTCTGCACTCAACCATATTGCATGTATCCAGGAAAGAGGAGGTTCTACAAGATACCAAATATTCACTTAAATTGTATCATTCCACAGGAAACTGTCTCTTTGTTTATAATCACTTAATGACAATGATATTTTCACACTAATAACATTTCATTCAATTCCAATACCTCATCCTTGGTGCATAATTTTTTGTATTAATGAGTATATGTTAAGATCTGTATTTAAAAGNGACATCACATTCATCTTTTGCTGAAACAAGTATAGAATTAAAATCACTCACTGATGAATCACAATGAAATTTATCAAGAGAGATAATGTGATATAGCAAATCATATTACCAATTTTGTTTGTTGATGAAGAAAGTTTATCTTTTAATACAATTTTTTTTTAAATCATTAATTCTATCTCATGAAAGGTTTAATATTTTCACTATTAATAAATTTTACATTAAATTATTAATTTTTAAATGAAAATTTGTGATTTCATTATCGTATATGATGTTATTTATTTAAAATTATTATTATTTTTTTAAAACATTATTTGTTTGTCTTCTGTTTATTTTTTGTATATATAATAATATCATTAGAATTAGTTTATTATTATACATCTTTAAAGACTATGATTGTTTTTTACATTTATATCTATTCTAACTTAAAGAAAGAAATCCAAATTCTCAAAGAAACTTTTTTTTTTGTTAACTATCACATGAACATGGGTAGCAAAAGTTCTGTTGGTTNGATATATTCTTACCAGTATAGAAACAATTTATGTTTTGATATTGTAGAAAACTACAACAAACAGATAATATACTGTTTCCCAAAAGCCAGTCTCCACTTTGGCACACATTTGTATTTTCAAGCATTTTCTTAATAAATTTCAAAATAATCTAAAATATAAATCATATTAAAACAGAATTTAAGATATATATATTAAAATTTTATATAAAAAAATTACGTTTTACTATATAATCACTTTAGATTTTTATAAATACAGTATATCATTTGGGAAATTTAAAGATTATTATAATTGCATTAAAATAAAATATTTAAAAATAAATAAAAACAGCATTGTTTGATTCAATAAACAAATTTAAAATTATTATTATTTTTTTAAAACATTATTTGTTTGTCTTCTGTTTATTTTTTGTATATATAATAATATCATTAGAATTAGTTTATTATTATACGTCTTTAAAGACTATGATTGTTTTTTACATTTATATCTATTCTAACTTAAAGAAAGAAATCCAAATTCTCAAAGAAACTTTTTTTTTTGTTAACTATCACATGAACATGGGTAGCAAAAGTTCTGTTGGTTTTGATTAATGAGATACAAAAGAATTATTTTTTTTATTTACTATCTAAGCCAGATTCTCTCATTTATTTAATATTTATATATTCCCCATTAAGATTTTCTATCAGCTTTCTGAATCCTCTAATGAGAAATTCTGGATCATTGAAACTAACACAGGAAATCCTCGTTAGTTCGAAATTCAAGGGAGAAAATAATCACAATGAGTTTCAAATTATCTGAGATTTATAAATTTCTGTACAATATGCCAAATGCCACATAACTGATGTAATTATTAAGCAAATGGAATATAGCTACATATACAGAATGCTACTTTCATTAATTAATAATTATTAATAATATTATAAATAATCTGAGGTAAATAGCACATGTCCAGTGAGAACTTCATAGGTTGCTAGATAAGTTTTATAAAAAGTAAAGCAGAATTCTCAAAATATAGCCCAAATAATTTTCAAAGTGACCCAAAAAGTAGTAAGATGCCCAAATGTAGTAGCATAATCCTACAAATATTTCAATCTGCCAACTTGTAGGACACTTACAGCCCTGAAACCCAGCTGTATTTTATGAGATAAGAGAAAAAGGTAAGATAATGTGATATCCAAAAATGTAAAAGTAAAACCATGTTGACCAAATTAAAGCTGTTTGTGGTCTTTTATCCTCTTATAGTAAGGAGCCACATAACTTCAATTTAAACATGCAAGTTATATGCATATCACAGTTAGAATGAAATTTTCATTTCAAATTTCAAAGTATCTATATTTTGAACAAACCAAATTCCTTAGCATGTAAATCTCTATATCCCCAGCTGAGACAAATAGTACAGTTACAAACTAACAGGATTTGAACTATCTGAGTTCAAAAAATTAATGAGGATTTCCTGTAAATTCACTTTTATCTATTCTGAATTACGACAAAATTCAAAGATTTCTAAAGTTATATAAATGAATAAAGATCAGAAGAATAAAGTTCTAAATCTAACTTTTCTATTGTTTGCTGCATCAGGTTTGTGCAAAATAATTTCAATGTAGCAGGACTGATCTAATTTTAAAACTGATAAATATACAATATATATTTAAAAGAATCTTACTTGAGGTTTACAAATTTCAGATTTTTCTAATAAAACTTTTTCCAATATTAATAAATATGACTCAAAGTTTTTTTGAATTGTTTTCAAAGGTAATTCTGTTATCACTTCTATTAAATCTGTCATCAACTCATGAACAAACATGCTAAAAAGATTTTAAAAAATCAATTAAAACCAACACATATATGCATTCTCTAATAAATAAAATTTTTCTTTACACTAAAAGTTCTTCTTTAGGATATTTCAGAAAATAAGATTACCTATCTGGGTAATAATGTCTTATGCATTGAAAATAGTCCAAAACACAATTACAAAAATGAGGATAATCTTGTACTAAATCCAATATAAATCTGAAATTTTAATTCACATTTTCTATGAGAAAAAACATTAAAAAATATTAGTATTTTCTAATTATTTCTAAGATAATAATTTACCTTTGAATTTCGTCTTTCATCATTTTATTATTATGCAAAATAAAGTAACAAAACAAGGTCCTAAATAATGAACTTGATCCACGAATACTTTGATTAACAATGATGTATTTTTTCAAGTTCTGAAGAGCCTTCATTAATAGATCATAATTTTGATCTGAAATATATTTTACAATAGTTTTCAATGATAAAACAAAACAAAAGATTTTAAACAATACTTACTATTTGGTGTAAATGTTGCTAATAATTTTAGTTTTTTCTCTTGAGTATCCGGTCCATCAAACGAATTTGGTATAAATAACAATAGCTGATCAGACGGCATATTCCATCGAGACTTATGTACCTGAAGAATAAAAATATGATTTGAATTAAATTCTAAATTAATTTTTTAAACATTTTGTCTCATATGATTTTTAATATTAAAAGTTTAATCATTTTACTTTTTTATCAAGACATGCTTCAATCCAATCCATGTACAAAAGTCTGTGTGTTGTAGTTAATGCTGGATGATGACTACATAATATTAATTGATTTAATAAATTTTGTTCTTCTTGACAAGTGAATAGATCAGTTCCAAATTCTTTCTAGAATTAATTAATTAATATTATTATTATATATTTACATAATATAAAAACTAATCTAGGAATAATAAAACTTACATTCATATAAAAACACAAATGAAAAAGTGCAGGGTGACTGACATACATTAATCGTGGTACCCAGGTTTTAAATGTCTAAAAATTTTAAATAAAGTTATATATTTATAAATATATATCAAATATATAATTAGAGTTGTATAACATTTATATATACAATAAACTAATGTTAAAGATTAAAAGATAAAAAAATCTACGACTTATTTTAGTAACAAAATTACCAAAGAGAGATTCTTTATTATTGAATTTCATCATTAAGTGTTAAAATTGAAATTTTATTGAAGTATTTCACTGTTTATTATATTTCAATCAATAATTAATTATAGATAATTTGAAAATAATAGATAATAACAGTAAATATTTGTTATGTTATTGTATAATTATAAAAGATTTACTAGCTTATTTTATAAAATTTGCAGCATCTTTATCATTTAAAATGTTTTCAAAGACCATATTTTAATTTTTAGTTACATTGTTTTTAATTACTACCATTATATTATCTTAATGAAGCTATTCAAAAAGTTTTTCATTTGACATCTTAGTCTTTGAAAATCTATTACAGATAAATATGTTTCAGGTAGCAAAAATGCTGCAGCCATACAAAATACATCTTTTATAAAATAATAAACATAAATTTAGTCTTACAATAGGTAATAAATCGGGAGTATCTTTCACAATTTGTACTAAATGCTTCATAATATGATAACTTGTCATTGTAGTCATTAAAGGTATTAAATCCATGATGAAGACTACTGCTGATAAGACTTCTAATTCATTACCAGATGACTTTCTGCATAACTGATAATAAACATTTATTATATTAAAAATATAAAATATATTTTTTTATACAGAAAATAATTGGAAGAGGGAAAAATGTACATAATATAGAAACTATTTAATAATAATAAAATAAAGGAAGAGAATATACCTTAATTTATTTCTTTTCTCTCAAATATTTTCCTCAAAACAGAAATATTTAAAATGATCAATTTTACTTTTTTTTTAAGTCATCATACAGATTTTGTATTTGAATTTTTTTTGTAATTTATATATTTATCACATACTCATGTTTTATTACTACTTTATAATTAAAAATTAATTTTATTAAAATTATTCATTATAAAATTCTGTTTTGTAATGTGCATTGCTTTTCAGTTAATATTTATTTAAGATTAATTAACTTCTGTTTTTTTTTTTACTTAAAGAATTAAAAAATATCTGAGGAAGTTTTTGAAATTAAACTTTTTATTTATTTGATCATACTTAGAAACCACATATTTAGTATATTGTAAACACATATAGGAACTTCCTTACTTACAAACAATTGACTGTGTGACTAAAATTTAAAATTTTCATGGATTCTGAGGGTGTCAAAATCAGTCTTTATCCACTAATAAATAACAAATGTTTAATAGATAATTCATGTGGATTTATTTCTATTGAACTAGTAGCCCGAGATGCCTCCTGGTGGGCATTCTAGCAGCAGCGGTGTCATTCCGTGGTTTAAATAAGAAAATTTATATAAATAATAAATTCCTATTATAAATAAAAACAATAATATACAATATACTCTTATAAATGAATTATACTATTAATTTAAATAATAGCTGAAAATCATTGCTACGGACACCCCCTAGTGTGCATTCTAGGAATTCCATGACAGATTATAGATATACAAACAGTGGCATCAATGGCTTATATAAGTAGATATCGTCATATTTCACTTTTGCATGAATTCTGACATTCCATTGCTGCTTGTGAGGTGGCATCAAAGTCAGTAATGTTGGAGTAATGGTATTTTTTCGCTGTTGTTTGCAATTTGTATAAACTTTTAAATAAGTATTTCAAAAACTAAATCCAAAACATAGCAGTATATCTAACAGCAGAAATAAATGCAAAAAATATTGCTCTATTACCATGGAAACTAAACTTGACATTATAAAACTGTGTTAGGTAAAGAAACCTGTGTTTGAAACACCTGTTACTAAGCAGTAAAGAGGTTAATAAAAATAATGCATTTAAAAATATGCAAGGATCAAATTTGTGAAAATTTTATTTATTTAATGTCTATATTTTTATACAATTTTATACTACATATACTAGTAGTAGTAGTAGTAGTATAGACCAGAATTTCTCAACTTACTTTTTGCTGATGTGACTCAATATATTTGTTAGTAATGGTTCCACAACCCAATGCTTATAATATAAAATTTTTTAAAAACTTGGTAAACTAGAGTCACTGTTTATTATATAATGAAATAAAATTATGCATTACTGATAATTTCTGTGTGAAATGAAACATTGAGTTACATTAAGAGCAATTCAGGTCAATTTCAATTTGTAATAAATAACTTACTTCTATTTCAGCCAATCATAATTATCTCATGGCAAGATATTATATTTGTAATTAGTTATTTAAAAACTTTATACCCTGTTTCCCCAAAAATAAGACAGTGTCTTATATTAATTTTTGCTCTCAAAGATGCGCTAGGTCTTAATTTCAGGGGATGTCTTATTTAGCCATGAAGAAGAATTCACATTTATTGTTGAACAAAAAAATTCCCAAGTCTAACTCAAATGAGAGTGACATAAATCCGGTCATGTTGAACTGAACTTACGAAGTTCCCGTGCTGGAGTGGACTTCTCACTCTCACTTCAACTTAACCTTTTCATAGCATCGACATTGGGCTCGATGACCAATTAGTGCTTACTGAACCGTAGCACTATACAAATGTGATGTGGTGTGATTCCGGCCAACCAATTAGTGATCACCAGCCATAACATTATGCAAATCTATGATTCCCAAGCCATAGTCTTATGCAAATCATGCCGTGTGGCGTGATTGTCTGCTGATCAATCAGTGGCTGTACTTTCAAAAAGCCAACAGCCACTTTCAACCATCTATCGATGACTGTTACGATTAAAAACAAAACTTTGCTAGGTCTTACTTTTGGGGGGCGGTCTTATATTTTGCAATTCAGCAAAACCTCTGCTAGGTTTTATTTTCGGGGAAACATGGTAAGTTCTTATTATTTTAGAATAATTAAATAAATATATATTACCTTCTGTTTTTCAGTATTATTGGAATTTTCTTGTATACTACAAATAGAAAGTTCTTAGATAAATCATCAAACACACACTATTGCTGTTAGCTTTTCTACACAAATTATAAATTTCTAAATGTAAGAGTTAATTAGATTTCAATAATGATTATTATATTTGATAATTTTGTATTTACAATCAATTATTAATAATTACTAAGTAATAAATAATAATAATTTAATGAAAAAAAATGTATAAATACAATATAAAAATAAATATATTATTTGAATTATAAACATATTAAATTTATTACCTATTATCTGTAATGGAAAATTTTGCTTGGGTAATATGGCTAATGATAAGAATCAAAAGGGATGAGTAAGATTGAAATATTGGTGAAGTTTCACACTGACAGCAAATAAAAATTTTTTCTACATCAGCAAATAATATTCCCTGAAATACAATTATTAGTTTTAATACCCATAAAGAAATACATATACTTAGGAGTTTGAAGTATTGTTTGTGCCATAATGATAATGTAAAGGATATTGAACTGAATAGCAATAAAAAATTATTTTAATCAAGTTAGTACTGGTAATAAAATAGAACAAAAATACATAATCTATACTAATATTATAAAAAGTAATGTTTGTAAGTTTGCATGTAGGGGGTAATCTCTAAACTACTCATCCGATTTCAAAAATTCTTTCACCAATATTTAGAATGGAACTTCAGGGGGGACATAGGCTGTATATTATTCCATTAAACATTCATATAAATTAAAAGATATCATCTAGGGTTAAGGCTTTTATGTCCAATAGATGGCGCTACGAGTATGACGACCTAAGTTTGCTTTTCTGTGAGGATGAACTAAAGCAGATCATCTTCTATCTATCTATATAAATAAAAATGTTCATTTGTTCCTACCAATTCCTTTGAAATTTTGACACAACGCTGCATTCGAATATGCACGTGTTTTTATATAATATACGTGTCGAAATTCCCCCCACCTGGGGGAGATGGTTAGGATTAAGGCTTATGGTAAAGAACTCTGCTTCTATTTATACTATTTTACATGCGGTTTTTTTGCGTTTTAATAGGGTACATCAACAGAATGTACACTAAGAAGAGATTTTTTGAAAAATTCCCCCCACGGGGGAAGTGTTATACATTTATAACAGATACATTTTAAGCAACAACAACGTGTGGCGGGGTCTGCTAGTTTTTATTAAAGTCTTATCTTTCTCAATATGATCTTATTGAAAAAGCACTTTTTAGTAAAATATACACTGATATACTATTAACATCAATATAGCGTATTTAGGATATTTTACTTTATTTATTTATTTGCAAAAATTCAGGAACTAGTGCTAATAGCTACTGTATTTTTGCAAATAAATAAATAAAGCAATAATAATTTTAATAAAACAGTAATAATTTTCTTTTCACTTTAAATTTTATATTTAACAATTTATATTGTGGTTTAAATTTTTTATGAACAACCAAACCTAAACTTCTATATTAATCTAATCATAAATGTCAAATTATTTCAAGCTTTAACTTTAGCTAAATTACATTTAGCTAAAGTTATAGCCTTTATATTCCTCTAAATTTTTGAAAGATTTAAGTTAAATTCAAATGTTCTCTGTGTTACTTTATTTTTCAAAAGCGCCAGTGATAGTGTTAGTAATGATGTAGATGGAATAATAAAGAAAGAGATAGAGTTGTCAAAATGATAGACTTTTATGATCTTAAACAATAAAATATTTTATCTATACTGTAATTATGATCATTTAAATACATAACTAACATAAAAAAACATTATATAATTTAACATTAAAAAACTTACTGGGAAAAACTGCTCTATTTCTTCAAGACATTTACATGCAATTGCACAAACAACAGGATTTCTTTTGGTTTTATTAATAACTATTTGAATTAAAAAATCTTTTATTTGTAACAGTAATCCAAACAAAGATGAGTTTTCTTCCTGAAATATACAATTTTTTTCCTATCTACATAAAATTATCTTTCCACTTTTACAATTAAAGAACTTACCAGCATTTCATGATTTAGAATAATAGTCACTATGGTTATTAAGAGTTGACATTTTAATCTTCTGCTTATAGTTTTTTGATTGTCAAGATATAATGTAGTCAGAGATCCAACAATTTGTTCTAATCTTTAAGAGAAAAAGTTTAATGTTAATTAAATTATTATTAATTCTAATCTATTTACCAAATTTATTTAATCACTCTGATTAAATATTATTAATAATAATTTAAAAATAATAAACACAACTAGGCATTTATAACCAGCAAAAAACAAATATATTCTAAAGAAAACAAACATTTTCTTCCATTTTAAACAGACATCATCATCAGACTTTGAATCCAGAGATGTAGTGTTGTTCTCCAGTCCTGCATAGTGTTTTCGAAGAATGCTATGAGTGATGGATGTATTTTGTACATGCGTAGAATATGTAGCAGCCAACTGTGTGGAACACTGTCAAATGCTTTTCTGTAATCTATATATGCCATGTGTACGTTTCTGTGTTGTTTGTGTGCTTGCCGTAGAATGACTGAATCTATGAGTAACTGTTATTTGCATCCCCTGTGATTTCTACGGCAACCTTTTTGTTGTTCTGTAAGAATGTCGTGTTCATCAACATGTTTGTATATTTTGTTTGAAATATAGGATGTCAATAATTTGTACAGTGTTGAAAGACATGTAATTGCTTTGTATTGTGTGGTGTCTGTGAAATTGTTGTTTTTAGGTTTCATGTAAGAGATGCCCTGAGTAAGAAATTTTGGCATATCTTGTGAATTGATGACAATGTGTTAGGTGTTTAGCTAGTTCTTGGTGCAGTGATGTAGACTTTTCATACCAGAAATTGTGAATGTTGTATACACCAGGTGTCTTCCAGTTATGTGTTCTGTTAACAGAACACAAAATTGGAAGATACCTGGTTTCAGCACAGGACATAGTTGGTATGTTATGCAAGTTTTTGTTCTAACTCGATCCAGTCTGCATCAGCATTGTGTGAGATAGTACTAGACCAGAGGTCACCAAACTTTTTTTCACAGTGGGTCAGATAACTGAGAGAATGACAAGTGCATGCCACATGACCATTTTGTTTAATATATTATACTGAATACACAAAAAAATAGACCAACATATTTATTTACCAATACACAAATGCAATTGCTGCAGCAAGCTCATAATCACCTTTGTTAAAAATTTCATTGCAGGTTCTTACACAAAAAGTGCTCTCATATTCAAAGTCACAAATAGTCACCAAATTTTTCATTTCACTGATTTTCCTAAAAATTATATTACTGTCAGATGCAAAAATCAGATTGGACTAATTTTGGCATTTTTACTTACATTTATTTTAATTTTTTCTGCATAGTAAGTTCATCTATAATCTATGATATTTTCATATACATAATTAATTGTATATTGCCTCACTGTGCCACAAATGAGATAAAATAATTATATTTTAGCTCATTTGTGGCACAGTGCGGCAGCAGTCTGGATGAACTGACCTTCAGAGGCCGGATCTGACCCATAGGCCATAGTTTGGTGACCTCTGCACTAGACCAAAGAGAAGACCAATAATTTGTGAGTTCCTCTGTTGGTGTGCCACTGTGCTGTGTATGTTGTTAGCGATTGTTTTGGTATTAATTTGTCTGTAAACGAGTTTTTCATTGTTTGCAAATAATTTAATTTGTTGTTTTCGTAGCGAACATGTTTTGTATTGTTTGAGTGCTTTGGTTGCAAGTTTTTGTTTTAGTGTATCAATGATTCTGTAATGTGTGTTGTGATGTTCATGTTTTGTGTGTATTTTGATTTTCTTGAAAATGTTTTTGAGTTGTTCCTTTAATTTGGGTGTTATGTTGTTTGTTTTTAGTGTATTATGTCAGCCTGCCTAATTGCTGTCTAATGTCATTTATTTGTGTTTCTATTCTTCTCTGCCAGGCAGGCTTGTGTTAGAATTGTGTTTTGTATGTATCTGTCTGTGATTGTATTTTCAGTCCATGGTCACACACCATTGACTGAAAATAGTATCATTAGTGGTAATTGTTTTGTGTGTGCTATTATCAGTGCTTGTTGCTGAATTATCCTGGCAGGTTACGTAATCATCATTAATGTTTAAATGTTTCTGTCTGTTGATGTATTTGATCAGCAAACTGTTGTTTGATAAGTTTGTGTTGTTTGTGGGATAATATTGTTATGTATAATTGTTCTTTTTTGATCAACAACCCTTTGTTCGATGAGTGAGGTGAGGATATTGTTGTGTGAATCTATGGTATGATTATTGCCTGTACGCTGTCATGTTTGTTTCCAGTCTTGTGATGGTGTAGTAAGTACGAATGATAAACTTGTTCATTTCTGTTGTCCATTTCATCCGCTGGCATGGTTTTCCAGCCTTTGTGGTTTGTGGATGCATTGCCACAGAAACACCAAGGCTACTGGTGGCAAAAGCAGTGCTTGAGCCAGCACTGCTTTTGCCACCAGTAGCCAAGAGAGATTATAACCTATTTTTCAAACATGAGCCTCTGCCTAACCCACAAATGCAGACCTTGTTAACCCAGGTGACATCTGAGCCAGTATCACACCATGGTAAATATCTCCACAGCATCAGGGTGTGGTCACTCTTAGCTTCACTTCTTCCCATAGACCTTACTGGCATGGGTATCCCTATCAGCAGCTTGTGCTCCAGCCAGCATTGCTCTATGGATCAGTAAAATTACTGAGCTCTCCCATCACAACTTGGTGGTGACCACAGGAGAGGTATTATTATTATTATAAAACAAAAAGGAAGTTGATAAAAATGTTTAAATTTTTGAATTGAACAATACCAAACTTGAAATCAATGTCAAAAATTTAAAAACTAAAAAATAAATTACTCACTTATCTGTAGAAGGTATAAGAATTGATGCATTATCTTGCAATAAAAGTAAAATATGAATTTTACACTGGGTCTCTAACTCATCTGTACAAACATCCTGCAAAATTTAATTTAAAAAAATGTTTATAACATTAAAATATTAAAGATCTACATTATGACATAAATTCTATTAATTGTAACATCACATTAAGAAAATAAAATAAGTTTTTTTTAGGTAGTCAAATTATTTTTCAATTATAAACATTAGTAGTAGTGATTTGAGTAGCACTGATCATAAAATTAATTTCTTGAGTAAATTACAAATAATTTTTAAAAATTGCAAATAAAAATTTGTCGAATGGAATTATTTCAGATCACAAAATTAATTTTTAGATGAATTTCCTAAATAAATTTGAGTGGCACTAATCACAAAATTAATTTTTCTAATCACAAAAGTAATTTTTACTCAAAGGAAATAATCCGAATGTTAAGAATATTCAAGTCAATTTTTAAAATATGAAAGAATTAAATGTTTTAATATCGAATAAAATTAAAACACAATAATTGTATGAAATAATATAACACCAAAAC